TGTAAGACTTGTTTAAATTGAGTTGGCTAGCTTCATTTGTCGTTCTTCAGGATGATGAAGTTGCTAAATACCGCAGAGGCATTGATATGTAAACACAGGCAGTAAAGTGCTCAGGTTATGACGTCAATATCATGAAAATTTCCAAAAGGAGCTGTTTTTGCTGTATGAATGGTCTGAGTGTACTGAGAAGGGAGCTTTGGGTTGAGAAAGTGAGACTATTCAAAAGTTTGAAGTCAGTAGATGTTTTTTTTTATGTTTTTGAAAGACGTTCTGCCTTGTGCTCACCAAAGCTGCATTTATTTAATCAAACATACAGTAAAAACAGTAATATTGTGAAATATTAAAAACCATTTTGCTACGTAACATTTTTGTGTAAACCAAATTTTTCCCCTCCAGGATTCTTTGATTAAACAAAGTTCAAAGGAACAGCATTTATGTGAAATGGAAATCTTTTGTAACATTATGAATGACTTTTTGATCAGTTTAATTGCTGAATAAAAGTATTAATTTCTATTAAGTATTAAGTATTAAAAAAATACTGGCACCAATCTTGTGAATCGTAGTCTATGTCTACGTTGTATATTTAACCATTTACTTTAAAAGACCACAGAAAATCAGTTTTCTCCACTGACTTACTGAGAACCAAATGTAGCTCAGTGTACATAGATCGGTGTTTTGAAATGAGTTCAGTATGTGTGTTCTTTTTTTGAGCCAAAACACCTTTCTCATCCTGTGTGCTGTGTAAAGCCCTTAAGGATGGCAGCAGATGCATGTGTACACATCCATTCTTTCTTGTACATTATTCAGCCCTCAACAAACTCTCAGCCCAGGGCTGCAGCTGATCTGCTAACAAGCGTGTAATTTGATGCTCTTGTTATTGTTGGATAGAGTGCCTTTACTCTCCAACATACTATAGTCATTATCTTTGGGAATGTGAGAGTTTCCCTATAGTATTGGCTGATTGCCTGCCCAAACCACAGAGGAGTTCAGTAACAGTTCAGCGTGATCAGTAATATAGTATTGAGCACAGTGAACTGTTGTGACCCCATGTGGCTTTAGATGGTTTTATTTTGATGTATAGTATTACCACATGCATGCATTAATCTGCTTGTACAGATCTACTACTCAGAACTGGTTTACCAAGCAACTATGTTCCTGCACTTTGTGCAGTCTGTCAGGATATTGAATGGGCTTTCTGTGGTTGAGACAGACACTAGGGTAATGGTGATTTGAGGGCTGACTGTCCTTCATGGCTGGTTGGTAGATCCTTGAAAAATTAGCTATAATCTGATGCTGGCCTGATTGCAGTAAAAAACTTATTAGAAAAGTCATCTATACTAGTGGTTGTCAACCAAGAGGCCCGGTCCCATTAGGGGGCCGCAGGACGACTTAAAAAGTGTTTAAATCAAACAATTGTTATTAATATATTAATATTTCTATCTTTATTTTCTATATTTAAAAATAAAATGCTAGAAAAAGTCAAGAAACAAACTAAAATCATTTTTATATGTATTTTTTCCCTTCTCAGTGACTATTGTTTTTATTGTAGAAAATAAAGTTCTGGAAATTACATGAAATTTGGTTAATTAATTAAATATATTAAATGTCCCAGCTTCTGTTAATAAAAAAGCAGCTTTGTCTTAATTACAGCAGAATGACCAAAATATCATATCTATGAGTCCAATATTTTGGCAGACTTGTACAATAATTTGTAATGTAAAAGCTTTAGTCTGCCTGAAATCATACCAGTCTGTTTTTGTGATTCGGACTAACAGACTTGTAATGTGGTTATAGCTCAGTCTCATCCATCATACAAGATATTCACGTTATTAAACTGTAAGACTTGTTTAAATTGAGTTGGCTAGCTTCATTTGTCGTTCTTCAGGATGATGAAGTTGCTAAATACCGCAGAGGCATTGATATGTAAACACAGGCAGTAAAGTGCTCAGGTTATGACGTCAATATCATGAAAATTTCCAAAAGGAGCTGTTTTTGCTGTATGAATGGTCTGAGTGTACTGAGAAGGGAGCTTTGGGTTGAGAAAGTGAGACTATTCAAAAGTTTGAAGTCAGTAGATGTTTTTTTTTATGTTTTTGAAAGACGTTCTGCCTTGTGCTCACCAAAGCTGCATTTATTTAATCAAACATACAGTAAAAACAGTAATATTGTGAAATATTAAAAACCATTTTGCTACGTAACATTTTTGTGTAAACCAAATTTTTCCCCTCCAGGATTCTTTGATTAAACAAAGTTCAAAGGAACAGCATTTATGTGAAATGGAAATCTTTTGTAACATTATGAATGACTTTTTGATCAGTTTAATTGCTGAATAAAAGTATTAATTTCTATTAAGTATTAAGTATTAAAAAAATACTGGCACCAATCTTGTGAATCGTAGTCTATGTCTACGTTGTATATTTAACCATTTACTTTAAAAGACCACAGAAAATCAGTTTTCTCCACTGACTTACTGAGAACCAAATGTAGCTCAGTGTACATAGATCGGTGTTTTGAAATGAGTTCAGTATGTGTGTTCTTTTTTTGAGCCAAAACACCTTTCTCATCCTGTGTGCTGTGTAAAGCCCTTAAGGATGGCAGCAGATGCATGTGTACACATCCATTCTTTCTTGTACATTATTCAGCCCTCAACAAACTCTCAGCCCAGGGCTGCAGCTGATCTGCTAACAAGCGTGTAATTTGATGCTCTTGTTATTGTTGGATAGAGTGCCTTTACTCTCCAACATACTATAGTCATTATCTTTGGGAATGTGAGAGTTTCCCTATAGTATTGGCTGATTGCCTGCCCAAACCACAGAGGAGTTCAGTAACAGTTCAGCGTGATCAGTAATATAGTATTGAGCACAGTGAACTGTTGTGACCCCATGTGGCTTTAGATGGTTTTATTTTGATGTATAGTATTACCACATGCATGCATTAATCTGCTTGTACAGATCTACTACTCAGAACTGGTTTACCAAGCAACTATGTTCCTGCACTTTGTACTAGGGATGTCCTGATCAGGTTTTTTGCGCCCCTGATCCAATTGGTTAGAGTGCAAAAAGTATTTTAAGAGTTAGCATTGCCAAAAGAGCCCACAGTTAAAGAAACCCCCATTTAAATCGAATTATAAAGGGAAGGGAAGATACCCGAAATGCAAGCCAAGAACACAGGATGTAACCCCTGCACTACTGTAGCTGAAGGGGAAACTGAAATGCTGAGATGCTGGATCCTTACAAAACCCCCTCCGTGGTAAGATGAAGAGCTTGCTGGGAATGTAGAAGCTTAGGATAAAAGAGAGGTCAAGAGGAAACCTGTGAGAGACTTGCTGAGGTCGAACAAGCTGTCATAGCAGAAGTTCAAAGCGATCAGCTCCCATCTGTATGAAGAGAGTCTGACATTTCTACGCAGACACAAATTGATGTTCTTGTGGCAAATTGGACATGAAAATCCTCACAGAAATTGAACCATGAGCTTTTGGATCTGCAAAAGAAAATCAAAGTTGATTGACCGAAAAGGTTTTGCTTCAGTCAGATACAAACCACCAGCACAGACTCCATTGCATGTAGACCAAAACATTGAGCTTCATGAAGCTCTGAGACCTGTTGAAATGCAAGGTCTTGTTTCAGGGTGAGGTCTGACTCACAGCACGTTGAGTCTGCAAATAAAAGGTGGTGTGACCCAAAGCTAATCTGCTCTAGCAGAGGGCACTTCCCACTGACACTGCCTCAGACCGCATTCTATCTCTCTCTCGATTCTTCTCTCGCTCCTCGTCATGCTGAGCAGCAGAAAGATAACCTTCCTGGAACCCCATCTCTTGGAAACTTTGATGCAATCAAGAAAAGGCTGACAGGTCTGGTTCCTGAAAATAACGCTTTTGCTGACTTTACATGATGGACAGTTGTACTGCAGTTTCTTAATGTTTACGAGGTTATTTTTGAATAGCCCCAAACTTATGACAATCTCATGTTAATGTTTGTTGATCTGTTTTTCTAGATTAGCAGCATTGTTATGCAAAACACCTAATATTCTAAAGGACCCATTTAGTCATGACAGAATTGTTGTAAATTTTTGTCATTTGGCAATTGGATTTTCATCTTACATTTACACGATCTTGAAAAGTGATGCAGCTTTTTATGCAAAATAGCCTACTTCTTAATTTTTTAATAGTAAGCAAAATCAATTTTATGTCCAAGCAATCTTATACAGGTCTAGATATATCTGTAAAAGTTTACCCTGTGGGTAAGATGTGTCACTGGTTTAACTAATAGTGCCTCCAAATACAGGAAGTACTGTTGCAAACACTATTATAAATTGTTTCACTAATCAGTACATCCAGATATTTTGAATAGTCAACCTGGTCTTGGCTGGTATATGAAAAGGAAATTTCGAATAAAAGCTGGAATAGGGTTGTGCATTTGTTTGTTTGTTTGTGTGTTGTTGTCTCTCTGTCTCTCTCGCTCTCATTTGTGTTCATATTTTTATTTGTATGTAAATGTAAGTTGTTCACATATTCTCCAATGATTTGACTTACTTATGTCATCTTACCGCTGATGTTGGTTAAGTATTGTCATTTGACAATCACTTTTTTTTCATTATTACAAAAATATTTTTAGTTGATTGCAAACATCATGAAATATAATTAATATTTAGTATTAATTGTACCTCTCATTTTTGCTTGCCTAGCAGTGTTATTTAGTGTTATTCATATTATTTTCATATTTTCAGTTTTCATTTTCATTTTAGTAATTTGTTATTTGCATTTGTCATTTTTATTATTTTTTTTATATTTCCATTTAACTAAAATTATTTTATTTAGGTTTTAGGTTGAGTAATTTTTACAGTTCAAATTAAACTTATTTCAGTTACCGTGGCAACATTTCTATTTTTTGTTTTTCATGTTATAGCCTACTTTTTAAATTACTTACATGAATCATGCACTGCATGATTCTGGCCTCACGTTATGCCTGTCTCTCTGTCCACCCCTCCTCTTCTCTCTGTAGAAAAGTTGGTAGCCTATCAGAGGGAGTTTCATGCCCTGAGGGAGCGTCTGCGTGTGGCGGAGCACCGAACCCTCCAGCGCTCCTCTGAGCTCAACGCCATCCTCGAGCAGTTCAGACATGCCATTGCAGAGACCAACGGCAGCAAAGATGCTCTCTCCAACTTCTCAGGTTACTGGACGTTAACGTGGATGTACACAAAAGAGTTGTGTGTGTCATTGTCACTATTATTATCTGTCATGCAGTGAACTGGATGACAATTTCCACAAATTAGTGGGAACAAATATATCCTTTGTATAGCTGCTTGCTGTTTTCTAATTAGCAAGCAGTTTTTTTTTTACCTACAAGTTATTAAAGAGTGCAGCAGTGCCTGTTCACTTTTTCACTTGCCTTGGTTCCGGAAGAATTTTTCCTATTCATTTTTTCTCATAGGGATTAAAAAAAAAGTTCTAAGCCTTGAACCAAAGCAACCCAACTATGAGGTGAATTATAACATTCAAAGCTTTGAATCAAAAAATATTTGAAAATCAGACAAAAAGGCAAAGCCACACATACACCCCAAGCCAAACATTAATTTAGAGCAAATATTGATGCTTAAGTTTCCAAGGAACAGCTGTCCTAGACTTGATAATGCAGTTGTGCCTGGTGTGTTGTTTGATTTGAATTTTTGGAAAACGTATTTAAACTGCTCTCACCTGCTTCTAAGTACTGAGGATCAATAAGTGTTTTAAAGAATTTTGTTATTGTATTTTTTTTTCTTTTTACATAGTTTATGTATATTGTAACAATGCTGAAGTACCCTGGTTTCTTACAGATGAGACACAGAAGTTGTTGAAGGAGTTGGCTCACAGGAAGCCCCTCCAGGTGCCAAATATCTACCACCATCTGCCTCACTTGCTAAACAATGAAGGCAGCCTGCACCCTGCTGTACAGGTGGGCCAGGGACGTACCGGAGGTGAGCCAAACAACGTACTATTTATCAGCATTTTAAGCTATCACAGTAGATCATTATCAAACATCTGATAAACTGACTGAAATATCACTCTTTTCAATCCAGAACTGAAGTTCAAATGTCCTTTGATTATGACCGAACTATCATTGATTGATGAAAGGTGCTACTTTTCACTGTGCTTTGGCCAAGTTCACTAGACAATTGCAAATCACTGTTATGGCCTTGTTAAGACTCAGAGCTGTCATGTGAGGTTTGTTTTTCACCCTCCATTTCTCACATTTTCACCCAAACAGCGGGGTGTTGCTGTCTGCCTCATCCGTGCTTGTCATATTGTGTTACATGCCTGTTATCCACGGGCTGTTACAAGCCCGGTCAGTGTGTCGGAGATGAAGCTGCAGCCAGTGGCCCTGAGTGGAGGCCCAGAGACCTTTTGTCCCTCCTTCACACACCCACAACAGGCCTATCAGATTGTCATTAGAGGAATCAAGCCCTCCTGGGTTCAGCGAGGGTTATGGAGAGGATAGTTATGGGACATGAACGTATGGGAACATAAGGGTGGAAGCCGCAGGGATAGGAACCACTTACCAACATTGTTTTAGGGGGTGGTGCAGTTGTGAAATCTTTTAACTATAATAATGCATTTTTTGTTTTAAAATCAAAGCAGCAACCTAGAGTACTAGAGTTCTTTATGATATCATATCATTATTGTTTATCCTAAAAGTAAGAAAAATATTTGTAAAATCGGACAGAAAGTTAAGGGTACGTGAAAAATAGCCGTTTATTTATTTAGCTACCATATTGTCCGATATGAGGCATTTAACTGCTCACACACTCATTTCTACCTGTTTTTACATTTTGAACATCATTGAACATTATATATTCATTTTCTCCTTCCTTTGAGTTGTTGAGCCTATTTGTTTTCTTTCTTAACTATGCACTATTATGTGGTTAGTTGCATTTTGCATAGTTTTTTTTTCTTCTCCTGCTTCCTGCAACCCTACCATTAATTATAAATTGAGTTTTCAAAACATAAGTAAATTGGAACTGGACCGGAAACTGGCAATTTTGTAAATGGACAACAGTTGTGATTTTCCAGCTCAACAGATGAACAAACACTGGGCAAAATATATAAATATGTACATTAATTTACTCTTCCCTTCATTTGGTTTTCTATTCGATCTCTGCATGAATATGTGGTTAGTTGCATTTTGCATTTTCATTTTCTTCCCCTTCCACAGCCGGTGCAGATGTACAATGATGTGCAACACATTTTTGGGTCACACCCCACCAATTAAAAACTACTGCATTACAATACCGCAGAATACCTCAAAGAAACTGTCTGAAGGAAGTGAGATTGAGTAAGAAGGTAATAAACGGAAATCTTGAAGTATTTCTGCAGTATTTAATGTATCCATAAGCTGACTAGAGCTAAACACAGTGGTTGTGATTGTAGGGATGTAAACAAATATTTAAGATCGGTAGACAAAAACGTAAAAGTTTAAGAATCTCTTGATTATTAATGTGCATATTGTAAAGTCAGTGTCCCCTTCAATGTCTGTAGTGGTTGCAGACCTGCTTGATTGGCTGGGCTTTTTTTCCTAGCGTAGTGACCAATCCACTGATCTGGCTAATCGACACCCTAAGCCTGGAGCTGTCGTGCTCTTTTGTGGTGAGCTCTGTTTTGTTCTTGTTTTTGTGATACATTGTACCGCACTATACTGTATCAGGCAGTATGTGGGTTAACGACAGAGTTAAGTCAACGGCTAGCTGGCTTTATTACAAGCGACATCCTATGCTGTGAAAGACTGCGGTGAATGACAACAATGACATTAGGGAATGTCAAAAATAACTTTTTTGTGTGACTGACCCCTGTCACACGAGGAGGTTGTTTTTCTGAGCATATGGGAAAAACTGAGAGAACTCGTTTTTGGAAAGCTGAAGCCCACCCATGCTCTACGCCCGCCTCCTTCAAACCCACAGACGGACCTCTCCTGCTGGCTACAGTAATCTCATCCTCCTGTTTCCAGACTGTCTGTGTGCAAGACTGCGGCCGGCTCTGGCTTGTGCCTGTGCCTGCGGTCCCTCTCTTCTCATTGAGATCATGGCTTAGAGGGCTATTTTTAGAGCATTAAATGGGGACATCATCTTCTGCCCAGACCCTAGAGACTGTGCACCATATCTCACGCTCAACACCACCCCCTGATCAATATAGACTCGGGTTTGCAAACAGTCGCTTGTTAAGAGGCCATGGAGAACTAAAATATTCATGACAACTGTATGAATGTTAACTAATGGTCTAATAAGCATTATACAAGCCAATGACAAAAAATGAAGAAAAGGAAAAAGGTTTTGAAAAATATTTATACCATTCAAGTTTAAATTTAATGACTAATTTTTTTTCTGATGTAAGCATCAAAACAATGGCCTACCATATTGCAACGCATCAAAGAAGTCAATCCAACACAGTCAAGAATAACTTAAAGAGGTTCCCACCGTTTAGTAAACCGTGAACTAGCTTTGGCTCTTCCTGCTGACTTGAATGGTGATGCTTCCCGTTTGTCAGTTGATGAGCTTTCATTTTTAACCAGAAATGTTCACGCTGCTTTTCTGATGTTCTGAAGTTTTCCGTGTCTTTTTCCCGTGTCACTTGAAAT